TTTAATTGTAGCCATCTCTAGTAATGTGGTTTTTGTTTGACGGACTGAAAAAAGATTTACGCTGTCAACGTTTATCATTAGCTACTGTAAATACATGGCGTACTAAAGTTTAAAATATTAAAACTTAAATTTGGTAATCACGAATTATGTAAGAAACTATGATGAAATCGATGATAAAATTAGATATTTATGTATACAGTCAAAAGTCGTTAATCCGGACTCGTCAGGACTTCGGAGATTCCTTGTTATCGATTATTCCGGATTATAGATCATCAGTTTAAATCTCGTAAGATGGCATGCAGAAATTATAAAATTAAAAATATGAAACCGTAATTTATGAAATAAAGAACAATTATGATCTAAAGGGTATCAAAATTTACAAAAAAAAAAAAAAAAGCTTAATATTTATTTGTTTACTTTATTAAACATTTCTTTCAATGTAAGTTGTTTAAGTTGCTTCGTTTTATGTGATAATACTTTCTCTTTAATTCTATAAAGAGACATAATTTCTTGTTCAGTTACAAAGTTCCGCTGTTCAAGTCCCGTAATTGCTGTGCCGAGAATACCGACTAACTTGTCAATTGAAATTTTTTCGTTTTCACTAACCTCTCTGTCACCTTCTTCATGTCTTTATCCATTTTTTGCAGCAATTCCACTTTTTGTTTGATGGACATCGAAACATACTTTCGTTTTGTAGATCCTTTGGGAGCTCCAGCATTGGAAATTCTATTTGACATAATCGAAAGTTCAAGTTTACTTTTATAAAATTGCTCTTAAAGCCTGCAAAAAATAATAAGCCGGATCCAATTTGAAGATTAAGGAACAACGCAATCATCAAAATCAACTGAAATAGATAATTAGATAATTTTAGCTTATACCGTCCATTATACATTAAACGCGCACGCGAAAACGTATTCTGCACTTGCGCACACGCATATGCGCAGTCGTAAAGGTCTTACGTGCATGCGTAAACGCCTATGCGCTCGTGTCAACGCGCCGCATGCTCAGAAAGTTTTTAGCTTTGAGGTTCGGATTATAGATCATTCTGGATTATGGGTGTCTGAATTAACAACTTTTGACTGTATTAGCTAATATTCAGTAAGTTTGTAGAGACATTAGGTATTTTGAAAGCAGGAGATATGAAAAATGAACAAAGCCTTTGCCGGAAATCAAACCACGGACCTCTGGAATACACGCCCAGCGTGCAGACCACCGCACCACGAAGGTATGCTAAGAAGGTGGGAGAAATACCTTATAAGTTTATGTGAAATATAGATGATTTATATGTAACAAGGTATTTTACATAATTTAAATAAAATAATTATTTCTATTTGCTTATTCTTCTAAATATTTATATTATAAAATCCGTAACTTATATACTTAATATTATTTTATTTTTTAACAACTTAAAATTGTAAGAATTTTTCGCTGTATATTCTGCTTTTATTTTTCTTCCTTCCTCCTTCTCTTTTTCCTAATTGAAAACGGCTCCATTTGTTAATCTTATATAGCAACTAAATCTACACATAAGTTTATACAGTTTTTGATATATATATACACACATAGATGTTTTGGTAATTTAAATAATTTTTCTTTGAAAAATCAAAGTAGGTGTACTATGTTCAAATTGCTTAATTATTGATTGATTAATGTAAAGATATTTCTATGTATTTTATTTGTCAGTGGGCTTATTTCTATGTGAGCTTTTTTCCGTGTGAGCATATTTCTAAGTGAGCATTTTTCCATGTGAGCATTTTTCCATGTGAGCATTTTTCTATGTGAGCATTTTTCTATGTGGACATATTTCTGTGTGGGCTTTTTTCCTGTGAGCATTTATACCTGTGAGCATTATTTTGTGAGCATTTTTTCTGTGGGCATTTTTCCGGTCACCAACAAAAACAACAGTCCCTCAGGGACAAAGCCCCTTTGGACTAAAAAAGTATTTCAGAGTTTTATTTAGATGATCTCTCAGACTGCCCTGACAATTATTCAGGAAGTAATAGTGGTGACGAAAGTGATGGCAGCGACATAATAATTCAGAAGCGAGGTTCTGTATTGCCACTAAGATATAGTGATTCAGAAGATGATGAGATACGTAACGTTGTAGACAATGCAAATAATGTTGAAAATAGTGATGATATATGGTCGATGAAGCAAAAATTTTGAAACCTTTTCAAGGTTCCAAAATATTTTTACTTTTAAAAATTTAAGCCAGGCTGCAACCCTGGTATAAAAAGTATGCCATGTTCTCTAGAAATTGAGATGGACAGTGTTAATTTATTCAAAGGAAATGACTTGGTTCAAATACTTGGTGAGGGAATCCAATAGATATCATTATCAAGTCAAGGAAAAATATAAAATCTCATCAAGAGCAAAAAAAATGGACGGATATAACGGTACCAGAGATGACGAAGTTTTTACAATTAATAGTTCTAATGGGACAAGTAAAAAAGGATGTTCTCTACAACTATTGGTCCACTTATCAAAGTACAGAAACTCCCTCCTTCTAACAAGTAATAAGCAGGAACAGATTTGTACAAATAATGCAGAGTTGGTATTTTTGCAATGATGAGAACATTTCACACAATTAACGTAGGCCTGCTCAAATCCAGCCTGTCATTGATTATTTAAAGCAAAGACTTAATGATGTATATAAACCCTGTCAGCAGTGGTCTTTAGATGAGTGTATGATTCTGTGGAAAGGTACACGTTCGATTAAAACACACAAGCAAAAATTACAAAATATGGAATACTTGTAAGAGTGCTGTGTGAAGCTATCACAGGATATGTATGTAACTTTCACGTGTACGCTGCTGATGGCAAAAAATTAGAAGGCACTGTTTTAACAGTTATTGAACCACATAAGAACATATGGCACTAGATTTATCAAGATTATTTCTATAACAGTGTCAATATGGCTAATATTCTTCTGAAAAATATAGTGCAAGTGTGTGGAACCATTTGAAAAAACAGAGATCTTTCTCAATCACTCCAAATAATACAACTTTCAAGAGGTCAGCATGAATTTTTTAGAAATCATTAAATTAAGTTAAAAGTGTGGAACAATGGCAGAAGAAACATTAATATGATCTCAACTATACATTCTGCACAATTAATGAAATCTAGAAGCAAAAGTAAAAGATCAGACAGTCCTATACAAAAGACTAATTCAATTATAAATTATAACAAACATATGAAGGCCGCAGATTGCACGGACCAATATGTATTATATTATACCATTTTCCAAAAAAAAGGTGGACTATACTAGTTGTAAGGTTTTTGTAAGGTTGTAAGGCTGCACATTTTTCAATTCATTTAAACGATATACAATTCTAAACGGAAAAAAAATATTACATACAAGAATTTCCTTCCCATTGTGGCAGTTTTGTGGATAGAAGACCATGAAACTAATTGTATGGAACAAGATTATGATATACCTAATTCTGAACCCAAAAGAAGAATACTCAGATTAGATCACCCTAGAACTGTCAAATTTCAGAAAACATAAACTTATAAATTTAGTGACCAGCAGTCGAAGTGTAAAATCAAAAGACAATGCAGAGTTTGTGCAGTTTAAAAAAAAAAAAAAAAAAAAAATAGGCATAGAACATTTTTTGTCTGTAAATTTCGCAATGTTCCACTACACAATGACTGTTTTGAACGATAACATACTTTAAAAAAATATTAAACTATTTCTTATTAGAAGTATGTCAATATTTGGATTATGGTACATTATATAACTATTAAACTGAAAATTGCTGTAATATATAAAATAAATATAATTTAGCATTAATATCATGAAAATAAAAGATTTTATTACATCTAATTATCCTATAACAACAGAAAGCAGGCAATTTTATCTGAGCATGCAAAAAGCACAGATACTCTAAACTGAAACAGAGCTAAGCAGCAGCAACAGTTTAAAACCAAAACAAAGCTGAGCAGCCAGACATGTGTATGCTGCTAAACTGCTAGTGGTCAGTAAAATGTTAAAATTGCACCTTTCACCCTCAGTGTTCTCTTGTGTTACAGCAATAAGTCTATTCATAGTTGTGATTATAAGATAAAATAGCAGGCCAAGAATTCTCTTAATAACAAAGAACTAGAAAAGTTTGAAATATGAAGATAGTAATAGTGATATTTATTTTTTAAAGATGATAGAGTACTATACAATTAGAATTCATTTCTATGGGTCAGACAGCCAATAAGGTATTTTTCTGTGAGGTTTTTAAGGTGGTTGACAGAAGATAATTGTTGCAAAAGGCATCATTTGAGAAAGGAAGGAATAGTTGCTTCATTATGACACTGTATTAAGCCATATCTTGAATAAGTAACAATGTTTGACAGAATTATAATTTAGCCTTCTCCTTGTCAGATTCAACCTCCTAAAACTCTTTATATCCAAGATTGAAATCCCAAAAGAGTGCCATTTTACTTCTAGAGAGACCATTCTCATTGAATAATGGAAAGTGCTAAATATACTTAATTATTATTAAAATAAAAGAAGAAGCATTCCAATCACATAGCAAATGCAGGCATGATTGCATGAATGTGGAAATAAATTATTACTTTACAGTACATAGAAATCAGATTTAATGCAGTAAATTTTTCAGAATTTCATTTGTTTTGTCCAGGTTTTTATTATTATTATTTTATTTTAAAGTCTGGTAATACAATAAACAGGATTTAGTTAAGATATATATCATTGCATTCAAAATAATAAAATACCAAACTCTTAAAATTCTACAAATGACTAACACAGAAAAGAAGGGGGAATATTTTAGTCAGGACCAGATTTACGTTTGATGAGATGCTAAGCTGTTTGAGATATGGGGCCCTTTATGAGGGATATTAGTAATTTTTTTATACGAGATATGGTACAATTTCTGGGGTGGCCCTAAGAAAGTGGGGACCCTAAGCTATAGCTTGTGCAACTTATACATAAATATGGCACAATTTTAGTCAATCTGACTAGGGATATTGTTAGAATTATAACTTACCAACCAGATGTGAACTCAGATTTTACTTCATCAGATGGTTCATTATTTTTTGATAATTTCCTTTCAACTAGTTCTCGTATGTCAAGTTTTTCTAAGAGTGGTTTCAAAGGAAAAAATATTTTACCATCATGATAAACCTAAAATGCAATATTAAAATTTAAAGTGAAAGTAGCAATGCATACTACAAACTGCATACAGACAGCAAATTTTACTCATATTCAAAAGTAGAGCACCTCACTTAAACTGAGAAATTTCAAAATTGTTAATAAAAAAATAGTTCATTCTATTTTTTTATCAATTCAAATTTTTACTTCATATTCATGAAAACTAAAAATTTTAAAATTAAGCTCTCATAGAACAAAATATTCGTATTAACATCTAGTGGGAAAATATAAGTGAAGCTTTATAAATATTACTATTTTGTAACAAAAATTCATAAAAATTTTCAAATGTATTTTTTTTTTTTTTTTTGCCAAACATCTTACTTCTAATACATTAAGTTGTAGGAAAGGTCTGAAATCATAAAAATCAGTATACAGGCATAAAAAAAATAAGTCAAATAGAAAAGAGATTAAAAAAAAAAAAAAAAAAAAAAAGGAGAGAGAGAAACATTCTAATGTAAAAGTTAAAATTTGACAAAATAGCAATCTTATGTTTGGCCTAGATTTTAATAAAAAATCTATCAGTTTTGAGGGCAACTAGACAAGAGACCCTCTTCATCAGGATAAAAAAAATATTGCAGAATTTTTCCTCTCCAAATAAAGACGGGCCTGCAATTGATTGCTCTTGAAATCCATAGAATTTTGATTAAAATCTAAGAAACATAAAGCTGCTCTTTTGCTTATTTTAAGAAAAGAGATTTTGAAACATGTCACATAAATAGAAATTCAGTCTCCTTGTCACAAGAAACAGGAGAAAATTATGAAAATGCAAGATTGATCATGCAATACTATGTAGCAACTATATTGAATTCAATTCTATATTACACAGAATCTTCTTACCATAAAAAATAATAATTTACCTTTACAATATTTATCTATGGATACATATACGCTCATACATATGTGGAATATCCAAAATAATAGACAACACATATAATAGCATGCTGAACATCCTATAATGTAACTCAGAATTGGTACCTGCCAAGGCATCAATTCCATCAGATGCTGAAGATTTAGGGAAATTGTAAGTTACAATTATTGCAAAAATTGTTCACAGTTTTGTTGCAGATACAGAACATAAAATTAAGAGTCTAATGTTTTGCACAATAACATCCAGATACACACAATGGGCCATGTCATCAGATCACTGATATTTCATGGAAATGTGATAATTAATATACATTTGGTGTTTGACAGCCAAGACAGTCTCTATAAGTCTGGCAATAAAAGTAAAAGACAGTGTGTACATTGCTAAGAATTGATACATCCATCATTAGTATATCCATTACAGATCGTTGATATGTCTTCTTAAAAAATTCTGGAATTGATGCTAAACTAGAAACACTCTGTCTCATCTCTTTTGTGCTGACTATAGATCATCACTACAGTTGCAAACATTTCCCTACATACATTGCAACCTTACTTTCAGAAAGCTCATAGCTTGAAGTAGCTAACTTTCATTCTTCTATGGGAATAGTAACATACATTTTCCATATCACTGTTTCTAACAGTTTGATCACTCAATGTATGATTAAATAAACTGAGATAGAAAGAAAAAAAAAGAACTTGATACTATTCATTCTTATGATTTTATAATACAGGAAGGAATTTATGATCATCCAGACAGTTTCATATGTTTAGGTGCATCCACACAGTAAAAACATCAATTTCATAATAATAATAATATGATTAGAATGTAAGATTCAAACTTACTTTTATGACTGACAAATAAATTGGTAGTCCTCGGTATTTGTTTGATAAAGAAGAGATTAAGCTTCGATTACACCTGTACAAGCTTTGGCCATACAGTTCATCTAATACATCACCAGGTTCTATTTGATCCTGGAGGAGGGAAAAAATTATCAATTATTTCTAAAAACTGGATAAATGATATTAAGGATAATGAAGACTTTTACAGAATTTAAAATTTTAAACTTATAAAAATTCACAAGTCATAACTAATAATAAAGTCATGGATACAGTATTCCATGAAAAAAATGAATATAAGAGAATCACATAACTACTAATATAGATATTATCATATTGTAGCTAAAACCAGAGTTGGCCACTTTTAAGTTTTGCTGAGAAAAATTGGTCAAATTTGAAATTATTTCTACTTTTCTTTTAATGTTTCCTCACAAAATCAATAATCTTACTGGATAAAAAGTAAATTTGTTACTTAACTTTATAAATGTTAAAATCTAGATTATTATCATTAGTATCACAACTAGTACAGGTTTTAAAAATCTTTATGAAAATTTCTATGCACCGCAAAAATAAAATAAAACAAGAAATAAATGTGATTACAAGCAATATCTCAAAATCACATAAAACAGATAAACAAACAATCTTAACAAGATTTTTCTTTAATTTCTACCTGTTTGCAGAAGAAGAAAAGTATATTTACTATTTCAAGATTTAATGATTAAAAGCTACAATTTATTATCACTTAGTTTGTTTAATTGATTATGGTAAAGCATATAAGGACTGTATGCCTAGATATAAAAGGATGCATTTTGGAGAATTTTTTAAGGAAAACGACTTATATTCATGTAACATATAAGATAATCATGGGGAGGGACCTATAATACAATAGCTTACTTACCAAAAATCAAATTCATATAAACTACCAGCATTGAGTAGTCTTACCCATCTGACCCTTGATGGATTATTGATTATTGGTTATCATAAAATATAAGAAATCCCTCTAAAAATTTTCCTGTGCTGAGGCAGGATGGCGGTAATAACTGTATTGTTCACCTTTACATAATTATACATTACAAAATATTTCCCATTCTACTGTGAAACAAATTAGGGGGAAAAAAAAAAAGAGAAGAAGGAAAAGAGAAAGAAAAGAAAAACCTAAAATTATCATTTGTTTATCGGTTTTGCATGATATTTTCAGATCTTAATAATTACTGATTTTATTTATTTATTTATTTTTTGTTTATATTTCTTTGGAATGCAGGAAAATCTTCATAGGCTTTCTAAACATATGCTAAAAATAACCAATAATGGTTCTAATAACACAATGCAATTTGTAACAATTATATCATGAAATGTTAAATATATTATTCTCAACTCAATAACAAGTAAAATTAGATCAAAGCACTATGATCATAATTTATTCATCTGTTTTACATTATCTTTATATTTTTGTGAAATATGCTTTTATATAATTAATAATTTAAATACTTTATTACTGCAACACAGGGAAATGAATTTCAGCCAAACTTAGAACTGACCAGCCAAAGCCTAATGTAATGATAAATTATCATACATTTTGGGCCTTTGCCACATCAATTGGCCAGTACAAGAAGTAGATGCTTATTTTGTGAAGGGGGTCAGACTTCAGGTTTTAGAGATATATAAATGAAATGTGCATTAATTAAAGTTATTCTGCAAAATGATTACTGAATGCACTTACTTCTTCAGCAGCTACGCTACCTTCTTCAACTTTGACTACAACTATTCTTCCTTTAATATAACTGGAAAAAATAACAAATTTACTACATATAAAAACATAAGTTTAGTAGTATATCCAAATGGAAAAAAAATACATTGCCTTTTGACTTAACACTTAAAAACTTATATTGTTTTCTATTCTTATTATATTTTAAAATTTAGAAAGAAAAGAATCCAGTGCTATAATCTAAAGTAAATTTGATACATTAAAATGATTAGAAAGAAGAATATATTTCAAGGAGAAGGAATTTAATAATAGCAAAAATAACTAAATCCTTGGTTAAATACAAAATTTGCCACAGCGGAACATGTGTACAAACAATTTTAAGATTGGAGCTTCATAATTTGGAATGTTGATTGTTGTATTTAAATAAAGAAAAATAAGTATAATGTATTCAATTTTGTGTTAAGACTGAGTAATTTTTAAATGTTCAGTAATTAAAAAAATATGTTATACAAGCTGGTATTAAGGAACTTAAAAAATAAACTGTTAATTAAACTGTTTAGTAAGACCGTTTTAGACAGTATACTAATGTATAAAATTTAACATTGAAAAATTTCTTAAAAAACAATGTACATTATTAAAGTTTATAGAAAAGATATTCATGAAAAATTTATATTATACAGAGACAACAATTACAGGGTAAAGCATATAAGCATCATTTTCAAAATATTTTTTTACCTTAACACAGGTTATGATGTTCACTTTGCAAGAGTTTATTTTAAACCCTACTTTTTTATTTAAATGGAAAAAAGGCAAAAGTGTAAATAACATTCTTTCTTTAATGTGGTAGTTATAGAAATGTAGTTTCAAAATGGCGAGTCAGATTATACTATGTTTGCAAGATGCCTGAAGTGTTGACAAAGAACTCCATACTAAAAAAAAATGCATATGGGACACAAAGCATATCATCAAATTTAAAGACTTTCAAATCAACAAGAGCACATAAACACTGACTTTAGGACTGGCACAAAATGAAATTAAATTGTCTGCCTATCCTAACAGATTCAAATTATGATGAGATTCATTTCTTTTGTTAATAGGTGATCATTTTTCACACTTTCTTCTACATCCCCATCCCATATGCCCCTAACTCCTTAACCTTGAGCAGCCCCACTAGTGGATGAGTGGTTAAAACTGTTGAATGTCGGGAGTTCGAACTAGATTCAGTCCCAGGCGAACAGACTGGCAGCATTGGTTTGTTTTCGTGGTTTTCCCAATGAATGAATACTAGACAGTTTCTCCTAGAAAGGAGCTTAGGCCTTGTGTGCTTTGTCACATTAATATAACCCAATAACCTTCACCTTCAGCAGCTCTGGAAATTCTACAGTACAAATTTCTAATCTATTTATTTTATACTTGTATTATTATTTTTTAAATTTTATCTTTACATTGTATAAACTGTGTCTGTCATATTCTTTTTAATTTACTACATTTTAGTATCATTTTATGTGTTATTTGTTATGCTGAGAGTGCTAAAACTTTTTTCAATATAAGTTAATAGACTTTTTTGTTGTTTTTGTTTATGTAATTTTGATTAATGAAAAGTTTCACACACATAGTATGCTTTTGCAATATTAATAAAATTGCTGTTGCTGTGACTTATCTCTTTTGACTGACAGTAACATCAGAACAAGCCTACAAAATTCTTCTTGGCAAGGAATGCAAGATTGTGCCTGTCGTTGGCAACAGCCTTGAACACCATGCATATGACAGTATGATTTTGCTCAGTTCAATTTGCTAATTTTAATAGACAGCACCCGGGGAGACAGATTCAAGGGTCTCCCATCCCTCTACCCCTATCACCAACCTCAAAAGGACTTTCGGCTCGCCACATATTTAGAGCGTCCCCAGACCCCACAGACACTATACACTTACAAACAGCCTTCTCCAGGATTCCAGCCTGGATCCGTCAGTACAGCAGTCAGCATCACTAATCACTATCCTGATTGGGTGGCTAAATAAAACTTATTGAAAAGACTGATATGAAATTTCATTGATGATATGCATGTTAACAATAGTATAAAGGTTGGCACATTTATTAATTATCCTCAAATTAGCTTCCTCTTAAGCTACACATAAAGATTTTAACAAATTGGATAACAATTGAGTCCACCCCCTCCAAACAAAACAAAAAAAAAAAAATCTGTCTTTTTTACAGAACAGTTTCATGTGCAATAATATGTACAATAAATGAATTGTTAAGATATAATACATCTATATATTCATAAAAGATATAACAGATATTATATATTAATCCCTGATATTTAACTGTAATTAAAAAATGTGTTAAAATAATACAAATAATTTCATGAAAACATGCTTTATACTTTGATCAGAATAATTCATCAAAAATAAAATCTAACTCTTCATATTATCTCAGTAAAGCAAATATTCCTATTAATACAACATAATCAGTTTAACTTTTCTTGTTACCAAATTAAATTGATAACTGAGAATAAACTGAAGCAGCAGCTACCAGGAGGGAGACATGCTTCTTTTGGGAACAAAACAGTATTCGTCATTAAATTTAAAACTTGATTTTCATGAGGACGTTAATTAAGCACATCTCAATGAATTCTGCATCGAAGGTATGGAACTTTGTTTTTAGCACATTAAGAGGTAAGGAACAATTTTAAATTACAATTTTTACAAAATGAATATTATATAATAGATTAAATACAGCCTTCATGACTGACCATGTTAAGGTTGTTTTCATAAAACTGCACCTTATTTCAAGAATTTTTATAACAGCAAATATACACCCAGAACCAATATTTATGGAATCAAGTCCCAAAAAAACCAAGCTTTCTGAATATCTCACAAACCAGAATTTAAGCTGAGTGCCATGATTATACCTGGTCTGACGATAACTAAAAATCTCTCAAAAACATCTTGAGAATTTTTAGCAAACTTTTTTTAAAATTTAACCCAGTAAATATTTTCAAACATTTACATTATATAGCTATAATAATTATACATCATTCATCTTTTATGTGTTTTAAATTATTGCAAAGCAGTAGACATAAAAATATTTTTAAAAATAACAATATAATAACAGTATTAAAATAATAATGCTAATTAAAAACTGTTACGCAAATGTAATGCCCTTCTTTACATGGAACAAATTCAATTTCTAAGACCTGAAAGATAAAAAAGTAAATTATAATTTGGAACATAAGAGAAAAATTTAGAAATATTTTTTGAAATTAATAGATAATGTCGTACCCATAAGACAGTTTCATCCCAAAAACGTGCAGTCTTAAAAAAAAATAGAAGAATCAATTATAATTTTGAGCCTTGGGATTAAGATTTTAAAATACACTGAAATAAATAAATTCACACACATACCTTTTTATATTATATACATTTGCACCTTAAATTAATTGTAAAAAGCTAATTACTCATTTACATTTAAAATACTACAATTCAGCCATCTAATTTAACTAACTTTCTTTCTAAAGAATCATGTACTTTTGCTACTCAAAATATCATACAATCAATTTTAATTTTTGATAGCTTTAAAACGTCTTTGAAGATCTGAAGACTTAGCTTGTGAAAAGTATCCAACAAAATAAGCCAATTCAAGAATCAGAAGATTTGTGATAAGATTCATATGACATGCATTTATTAAATAAAAAATTCCTCATAATGACAGCATGGTTTGGTTTGATTAATTTGATTATGACAAAGCACACAAGAGCAATCTGCCTAAGTGAAGGGATGCCTTCGAGATTCACCGGGATTTCAACCCCAGACCAAACTACCTATGTTCCTCAGCCACTGAAGGGCCTAAAAGGATAGC